TATAATATAGTTTTGTCACTTGTTCACTTCAACAACTGGCAGAGGACGGGTTTGTCATCGGGCCAAACCCATCCTGCCTGACACTCCCCTTCGTCGGTAGCGAACTAGACTATACTGTAGTGTACAGACGAGATGAGTTCGTGCACTTCCTATTCAACCGATTGGTAAGTTGATGGTAGCTTTCGTACTGTTTCATTAAGGTGCTCTATCATGTGGTACACGTTCCATGGCAATCTCCAGAAGATGTGAAGGAACTGCTGTGGCGACGACATGCTTACAATAATGCTGTCATCTCTTTGAAAGAGGTTATAAAATTTCTGATTGTTCTTGTTCTACATAGTCGGAATTGAAGCTTCATCGATTCAACAGTGTACATTGATGGGGAGAGCATAAATGAGGAAGTGCTCTAGGTGCTCAACTTTATGGTACCCCGCGCATTCAGCCTTTGTTTGAACTGTTCGAATCATTGCTACGTGTGTTTGGCCTACACTTTATCATCAGAAGCAGCTGATATCCGAGTCAATGCTTTATTTATCGTAGGTAAATCAAAAGCGAATTAGCCGACATTAAATACATTAAAAAATGGAAGGTTTGGGTGACCTGCGCGAGATTCGATCCATAGCTATAAGGTCGCACACTCTGCCAAATTACCAAATTTTAGGTATTAGACTCGAACGGTTTCTATTTGATACTTCCTTAGTAGGTCTAGCATGAGTCCGTTCCCTTGCAGATATTTCGTCAAGAAATACAACAGGCTGAAGCCGCAGGGAAAGGAGTGGAATCAATGAAAGAGGAAGAAGATGCTGAGCTCAATCGTCTCCTTGCAGAGAACGATCGAATCAATCGCGAAAAGGTGTCAGAAGTTTTTTAGAGTTCTACTTGATTGGAAGATTTGTCCTATTTCTAAGAATTTGAGCTGTTGTTTTGTAGGCTGAAGCAAGGGCACGAAAAGAAGAGGAAGAGTGGAAGGTTACGCAACGCGAAATTTTGGCCGAAATCGACGAAGCTCTTCAAAAGCAACACCAAGTTGCAAAAGAGGCTACTGCTGAGGTAGTTTAAACCCCGAAGTGGCCGATTTAGATCTTTTTCTGGTCCCTCCTAGTTTGTTAGGAGTTACGTGACTGTTGATTTTTTCCTTCATTACATCCAAGAAATACTACTGTTTAAGGTTCGAGATGCAATTTCTCGCAGTCGAGACTTTGTAAATGAGGAAAATTTGGAGGCAAAGATTTTAGAAGCACTTGAACACCCCAAAGTTTACGACTTTGCTATTGATCGTCAAGGAAAGAAGGTTAGAAGATTTTCCTCGTTTTTCTTTTCTTTCTCAAATTTCAAATTTTCCTTTTCTTCTTCAACTGTGATGATATCCCTGGAGGTTATATCCCCCCAATCGGGTTATCTGCTTTTTTCTGAGTGGCAAAGTTAATACACCACTATGCATTTGTTTCATATCGCGATCGATTTTGATTCTGGCGATCCTTCTATCAAATGATATCGTTGCATTCAGAATTACTCACTCGATTATTGTTTGGGCTTTATTTTAGATCTGCTCACTGTCTTACTGGGCCCTTTTCCCCTTTTCTAGAACGTTTAGGGCTATTATACAGTTCTTCACTTTACATTATCTTATGCATTTTCGAGTGAGACGATAGTGGTTATGTTGAATTATTGATGGTGAACTTATTGGTATAATTTGGTGAATTCCATTCCATCTTCGGATGTAAACAGATTCGGAAATCCGCTCTGGAAAGCGATTAGCGGCTTCATTTTCTGAGGAACAGTTAATTTTAGACTGGAACGTTCAGAATGAATTACGAAAATCTTAGAAGAGCATCGAGCATGTACCCCACTGGCTCCTCTATCATTTACAAAGTTCATAATATAAACGAATAGAGTCTCTGAACGAAGTTGTGGAAATTTTCAGTAGAATAGCACGCTGAAAAGGAAATCTTGTTACGATGGTCCTGTGAGATACACAGAAACTTGTTCATTTGCTCATTAGAAAATCCTTATTAAAAATTTAATATTTTTTTCCAGTATTATGATCCCACGCCAGTGAAGTACCAAGAAGGTGTACCAACCCGGCAGAAAGGTCGACTTTTCGATTAGGATATAATCGCACACTTGGAGTTCCACAAGCTTCTGAGTTGGAAGAGGAGAAAAATCCAGAGGAACTGGCCAGAAGCCTCGGAGGCTTCTAAGGTCTGAAAATTATGAGATGAGATTGAATTTCAAGATAGTCAAAGTAGTTCCACCTTTATTCTTTTTCTGTATACTCATTAGACGTTTGAAATGATGTAGTACATAGTCATGATGCTGTAGGAGTTTAGCTAGTTTCATATTGTTAGTTGTTGTTATCGAATGTTTGTTGTAGTGAACAGCTGCGATTTTGATTGGAACGGGTCGCGTTTTAATCATGTTTGTCTCATGTTGTTACCGTCATTTCAATTTTTCCATTTGTTCTGTAATGTGTGTGCTCAGAAAGGCAGTAAATATTTGGAATGCCCCTTGTATTTCATATCTTATTGGATACACCGAGATTTGTTTTTGATCATATTCGAATGGGCTATTAATTGCTCTCAAGTCCCCTAGACGATGCAGACGTATGTGGCTGAAATTGGTGAGATTGTCCGGGCCCAAAGAAGGGATGAAGAAGAAATCGACTCTCTACAGACGCGCATCTCTTTTGTAGGTTCAGGTTCTTGCGTAACTATTGCTTTTGGTTATGCACTGCTTATGAATACTGTGTTTTTTCTGTTGGCATGAAAATTTGCCTGAAGACACCAGAAGATTTGTTCAGATTCGTCAGGGAACTTCTGCGGGGAGCGGGCATGGATCAGGCTTTTCCCGTACCTGAAGACTGTGGCATCAGTAGCCTATTACTCATGTACGACTTTGGCAGGTATGATGTTGCAGATATGTACTCTGTATACTGCACTTGTTTCCATCAAAGACAAGCTCCGCGATTGCATAGTGTGAATAGTGGCGACCTAGCAGTCTCTCTGGACGAGTTCTCCATACTTGTTTCCTGCCAGCAAAGCTGTATTCTGCCGCCTCTGGCTTACCGTTTTTCGCGTTATCCAATGCTTATACCATCTAGTAGTGGGAAAACCGAAAACTCGGTGTAAAAATTGAACTCACGACGGAGAATACCCCTTAAGTATTTCTGGCGTCTCCCTAGCTGTCCCGCCCGCCAAAGGCGGGCGGGACAGCTAGGGAGACGCCAGAACTGCTACTTATGAGAGCCTGCGTGAGAGCGGGAACTGTCTTTAATGAAGGCACCCAAAGCGAAGGTGGCTGTTGAGATAAGCTTTCCTGAACTTTCAGTCAATAAGCTCTTGAGCCGTGTTGAGTTCGATGAGCAGCCGCTGAACCAGCTCATTCATGAAAATTTATGCCAAAAACGAGGGAACTGCAAGGGAGGGAACACTTTCAATTCACCATAGAGTGTCACCGTCACTCATTGGGAAAAGGCCCCTTCATTGATCACAACAGATCATCTGCTGCGATACATGTTAACGAAATCGAAATTACCATTCGTGAGTTGTTCGAATCAAGTCAGAGCAGTGCTAACAATAATAGCTTTGCTTCGCGATTTCATACTTTTAACGTATTACAGTCACTTTTTGCAGTGTTTTTGGATGAGCTGAGCAGAAGATGAGTGTAGTGGAAAATGTTTTTCGGAGCCTGTAAGGGTTTGAAATATAGATCACTGGACCGAGGGATCGTTAGCTCCACTTTGGGGAAAGGGCCTCGCAAGCTTGGTAACGTGCGTGACGTTCGCGACAGGATCTATTCGATTCAGCGTGTGATGTAAACTAGGTAGAAAATCCTTTGCTAATCTGTGTGCGTCGCCACGTCGTGAGATTGACGATCCACTCCCACCCAAGAGATATCGCGGATGCGTTTTCTACCAGAAATTGTCGGCCTGAGCCTTTCAACCGATGATAGAAAATCAACCAAGGCGGGCTCATTCCGGTCCTTCTGGCATGTCCTGCTTCACTATGTCACACACTTATATGATCAAATATTTTGAAGAAATTGCAAGTTCTATAGTAGCGTTTAAGGTGTACAAACACTTGGCGAGGAATATGTAAAGATCTTTCGGATTCAGTCGACAGTTCGAGCTGTTCCTTCGTTGGGAGCTAGATTTTTGTTTGTCCTGGTCCATGCGCTAGCTCCCATGGTATCGCAGTTTGCTATACAGGTTCGCCTCTACCAGTAGCGAAAACCGCGGAATCGTGTTAAGAAGAGTTCATTCATTCTCTTTTCCAGAAAGCGGAGCGCACCCTTTCACATCCTTCCACGTCGTCTTTCATGGGCATCCTCAATCAGGAACAACCCAAAGGCTAGAAGAAGCTTCAAGTTATTAATTGAATGGATGAGGTATTGTTCATTTTCACTGTAATTTTTGTGCTTCGAGTTCCAAATTTTTATTCAGATCTGTTGGTATTCCTCAGCTTTACCGCTTACATTTGGCGTTCTTTTATATTTTTGGAGTATACTATAACATTTCTAATCGTGTGTCGGGTACCAGGTACTTGTCTCTCAGCCCACAGACCGACTTGAAGGTTTGCCTTGAATTCGAGTTCGATGTGTTTTTGCTTTCGTGGGTAACGGATGGTAAGAGAACCTTTTAGGCTTTGAAAGTCTACAGATTTCTGGGTTATTTGACTCTGGCGCAGACTGTTGTTAGCCTCACTCTTTGGATCGTATCTACTGCAGAAGCAGAAAGGAATCAGTCCAAGAACACTTCGTCGACTACGGCCTCCACTCATGCAAAGAAAGACCGGGCTGAGAAAGATGACAATGTAAGTGGAACCTGAGCTTTCATCTGCTGAGGATTGGTCAAATTGACATTATTTCAAGGGTAATCTGTTACAAATGTGAATTCATCAAATTAGCATTGTGCACACCTATTACCTACGCCGGTTTTCTTAATGTTCTACTAATACCTTTTTTCTTTGATAAGTCCCATATTAGTCGTTTACCTAGCCCTTGCGCAGGGTAATGGGTGCCTTTTGTTTCTAAGATTCCGTCCCAGTTATGTGATTTCTGCAAAACCTTGACTCAGATTGAGTGAGATGAGGTGAGATGTTTTGGGTCAGTCATGATAAGTGCAATTCTGTATTTCGATTTCTTCATTTTACTCGGCTTTTACTTTTCATATTCCAACTTTCACCTTTAGCATATTAGGAATTCTCATCAGCAGTTTTTGTCCGAATTCATCCTCTTCTTTTCCTTCGACGCTCTAACCAGGGAGGTCGTTCAGGACGTGGAGCGTTTTTTGAAAACGGTTTTTTGCATGATGTAGGGTCACGTGCATGGAGTACCAAACTGATGTTCATTTTTCCTGAACGCCTCTGGGAATACCAAAAAAGGAGTGAAAAAGAAGTTTTTATTTATTTATTTATTTATTTATTTATTTAGTACGCTGTTTAAGACAACGCTCGATATATGAGAACAAATCTAAACATAAAACGAACAAAAAACACAACAGCAATGAAGAACATAGCACCTACGCACTGAGAACTTGCTTAGCTATGGCACGTTTGAAGGAAGTCATAGAGCCATTAAACAATGTGGTTTTGTCCAAACGTAGATATGCGAGACCCGCTCTGATAGTGAAGAAATTGCGCCTAAGGGTTGTTTTTTTCATTTATTTATTTTTCCATGTCAATATTTTACAATATGTGGCACCTCATTAGATCAATCCATTCCTTCTTCGTCATGCATCTTGCCGCATTTTGCCAATTGCACGTAATCAGCACTTTCTTAAACTCATCTCTCCATCGGGATTTCGGTCGTCCAATCCGTCTTCGCAAATATGGGTGCCATTCCGTGAGCAGTTTTGACCACTTGTTTCTACTTGAACGAGCCATTTCCCAGGCGTAACTCCACTTCCTTTCTAAGGCTTTCTCCACCACATCCTTAACTTTCGTCACCCCACGTAACCAGGCATTTGTCTTATGATCCAGAAGACGTACTCCTACCATGCGACGCTCCATCTTTCTTTGTGCACGTATGAGTCTGTCTTTCATTGTTCTTGTTAACACCCATGTTTCGGAGCCATATAGCATAGCAGGCAATACGCACATGTCGAACAGTCGACGTTTCCATTTCATTTCCACGCTTCTCGATGTGAAAAATTCCTTGTATCGCAGAAATCTTCCCCAACCGATGTGAATGCGTCGTGTGATCTCTCCGGAAAAATCATGATACAGAGAAATTTCTTGTCCGAGATAGGTGAATGTCTGCACTTGGTCTAGCTGAACATTCCCTATAGAAGATCGTTGCCGTTGTTCTTGCCATTATCTTTATTTTGCAGAATTTATTTTTAGCCCACAACATCTAGAGTTTTTGTCGAGGTCATCTATCATTGTTTGTAATTCTTCCTCGGACTTCGCAATAAGGACGACATCATCAGCGAATCGAAGGTTGTTCACTTGGGTTCCGTTGATTGTCAGTCCATAGGTGGACCATTCCAGTTTTCGGAATATATGCTCGAGAGTAGCAATGAATAATTTTGGTGAAATAGTATCTCCTTGGCGAACTCCGCGATTTATCTGTATGGGTATATGTTCCTCACAAAATCGGACTTTTGATTGGGCTGTGGTATATGGCGAAGAAGGGAAATTATTTGGGTGTGAACTCCTTGTTCTTGCAAAGCGTTCCACAGGGCATTCATTTCAACTGTATCGAAAGCCTTCTCATAATCGACAAATGCAATGAAGATCTCCAAGTGATATTCGTGGCTCTTCTCAATAATCTCATTGATAGCGTGAATATGGTCTATCGTGGAGAAACGTTTTCGAAAACCGGCCTGTTCGTTAGGTTGTTCGCTATCTAAAAGCTTTTCTAAGCGTTCGTTGATCACCTTTGTTAACAACTTATACAGGACAGGCAGCAATGAAATGGGACGGTAGTTTTTGAGCTCTCTGGGGTCCCCATTTTTATGGAGTAGGATAGTTATAGAGTCTGCCATTCCCTCTGGGACGGAACCGGTGCGGAGGCATTCATTGAAAAGCTCAGTAATTAGTGGTATAAGGTTAACTGCACCCCACTGCAACATTTCCGTCGTTATAAGATCGTGTCCTGGAGTTTTCCTGGCATTTGTGTTCTTCAAAGCTGTTTCTACCTCGCTCGGGAGGATTGGTGCACAATCATCATCGTCTTTCTTCCATTGTGTGTAGGGCACCATGCTTTGCGATGTGTACAGCTGGTCATAATACTCCCTTATAACTTCTTTGATTTCGTTCCTCGACACACATAGTTTCCCTTTCTTGTCGCGCAGCTGAGTCGGTTGTCGCCGACCAACTGACATTTGGCTTTGCACCATCTTCAAGCTTCCACCAGTAGCAATCGCTTTCTGAACAAGATCACGATGATGTAAACGAATATCGTTTCTTATCATCCTTCTCAGCAATTTGCAAGTTTCGATGTATGCTACTCGGTCTGTTAGCGTATTCATCTCTCTCTTCAGTTGCTGTCGCTGTCTCATTAGTGATAGGGTGTCAGTGGAAAGGTAGTGGCGAGCTTGGGTACGTCTTGTAGCCACAGATGCCGCGTTCCTGATATACCTGCATATTTCTCGATAACGATTCGATGGATCTTGAATGGTTCGAGGACAAATTCTGGCCAGTTCCATCTGGTAAGCGTCTCGGTCTAGATAAGACTTCGAACGTGTTCTCTTTCTCATTCTGGTAGTGCAGCTGTGTATCTCTAAAATTCCTCGTAGAAGCCGATGATCAGTTTCAAACTGTATCGATCCTGTTCTGATACTGTTGAAACGAAGGTGACGGCATGCAAATATATGGTCGATACAGCTAAAAGTCTTCCCGTTCGGAGATCTCCAGGTCCACTTTCGTCCATTCCTGGTCTTGAAAAACGTGGCAGCTGCCCGAAGTTGTAGTTCTTCGCAGAAGTCTACAAGTATTTGCCCTCGTGTATTTCGACAACTATCGTACGTATGCCTTCCAAGAGAACTTTCCATGTCATTTGTCTTCTTCCCTAAATGTGCATTAAAATCGCCCAATATGATTGGATGTATTTTCGACGTATCGTGCATCATTTTCGACGTCGGTCTTACTCCGCATGGTGTATACTTGTTTGCGGAGTCAAGTATGATGGCTTGAATGTTTTCGACATGTGCACAATATTGTTCGTCGTCTTCTGCTGTGGAACTTGCTGAAGGGGGTACATATACCGCCAAAAACCGATACAAATTCGCATCAAATCGTACATCCAAACGAGACATTCTGTCGTTTTCTCTTGAAAAAGCATCCACGAAAGGAAGAAGGCGGCGACTCACGAAAAAACCGGTTCCAGATGGTCCTTGTGTGTCTTCAGGCCCAGCATGGAAGAATTTATAATCTGAGTCTTCGAGGTCTATACTCCCTGTTCCTTTCCATCGTAGCTCCGTAACTGCGAGGATGTCCAAAAATGTTCTTCTGAGTCCTTCTTGAAGTTCGACGAGTCGTTCTCTGTTGAAAGTCTTCTAACATTAAGTGTGGCGAAGTGAATGGAATTGAATAGAGGGTGGAACATACTTGACCCGGCCGTTCCAGTGCTTCCTGGGCCAAGGAGTATCTTCTATGCTGACGAGGCGAGTCGAAGAAGACGTCGGTTCGGAGAGAGTGGAGTGGACGACCGCTCACCGTCCGGTATCGAAGAAGACTCAAGGGTTGTTTTAGGGCGCGCAAATGATAGCTTATGTTGACCACCTCTGGTTATGGACGGAATAAGGGTGTAAAAACGAGAAAAATCAAGTATGGATTTGTCCCTCAACAGTTTATGCAACATACATAAGTCAAAAAGGGTCCGCCTGGAATGTAGTGAGGGTAGACCGAAATATTTGTTCCTAATTTCTGCTTTAGGGATTTTAGCATACAGAAAGCCACCTCGACGGATTAACATCTTTCTGGTGAAATTATTTTGGACTTTTTCAATAAGAGCCACGTCCCTTTTTTTATAAGGGGCGAAGACAACCGTTCCCGTCTCTACCAAAGGCCGAACATAAGTCTTGTAAACTCTAACAAGCACCCTACTATCCGCGGTAGTGAGAGCCTTAAATATGCAATAGGTTCGATGAAGGGCTTTCTTGTATATGTGCTTGTAGTGCAGGGAAAAGTCAAGTTTGTTATTGTATAGGAACCCAAGATCCTTAACCTGGTTCACCGTGCTAATCTCTTGATTGTTTATGAAGTAAGTTGCATTGCAGTGGGAAGAAGAACCCACGCGCATATGAAACGTTTTGGTAGAAGAAAGCGGTATCTGCCAGTCGGCTGACCATATTGTTTGGACACGACTTCATCCCGTAGACAGAAGGTCAAGTCAGCCGTATAAATGTTGAAAAGTATAGGGGAAAGGACCCCACCTTGAGGAATCCCACTCTGGAAAGAAAAAATATCTGAGTACGAAGCATTAACGCGTACTTGATAAGTCCTACCCGTGAGAAAAGCTTTTATCCATTCATAAACATTATCATGAAACCCTAGCTTACTAATTTTGAATAGTAATTTCGAGTGGCTGACCTTGTCAAAAGCTTTGGTGAAGTCAAAAAATATAACATCTATACTTTGCTTGTTGTCCAAGGCTACAGTCCAGTCGTTGAGCGTTTCCAAATTTGTACTAGTTGACCTCCCCGCCCGAAAAGCCATGCTGAGAAACGGGAGCTATTTCGTTCTCCGCAAGATGATGTGTGTTTTCAGCAACTTTTCAAAAAGCCTATAGAAAAGAAGTGATACTTATTGGCCTGTAGTTAGAAATATCCGATGATGGCGCCTTCTTCAAGGACTGGGGTGATATAGGAATGTTTCCATAATCGTGGCACTTGCGAGTACATTATGGATTGATTATATAAATATGAAAGTGGAAACGCAATGGCCTGAGCAACATTTTTAATGAATTGGAAAGGAATTCTGTCAGGAGTTGTAGAGTACGAGCATGGCCATTTCATGAGAAGACTGTACACATCCCTTGGATCAAAGTATGGAAAGGACTGCATTTTACAAGAGACAGTGGGCGAAAATGAGGGTAAATCGTCATTGTCTTGTTGAAATGCTTTACTGAACTCAAGAGCAAACGCATTGGCTTTATCGAGGTCGTTCAGAAGTAATCTGCCTTCATACCTTAAATCCGTAAATTGAGATTTCTCGCGCAGCCTAGATCTCATGAATCTGAAAAAACGCTGCTTGTCCTTAGCTTCAACAATTTTCTTTTCTACATTTCTGTTGAATTTCATAAGTCTTTTGGTGAAAGCTGAGGAGAATCTGTTGTACTCAACCCAATCGCCGGTCATTTTCGCATATTGAAACAAGCATTCTTTATGTTCAAACATGTTACGTAAGTATTCAGGTAGATTGCGCTTATTCGGATAGACGAGAGCCCAGGGTACGAACTGATCAATAGTGTGATTGAGTATAGAAAGGAACATTGAATACTTATCATCAACCGTGGATAGGGTTTCAAAGGATTCAACCCATAGGATACTAGAAAGATAACCGAGGACGCGGTAATAGTCGCATTTATGAATCAGTCTCTTGAAAACTGGCAAGTAAGGAGGAAGAGATGCAGTAATATCAAAAGAAAGTGCTGGAGTGATCACTGTGCCCAAGAGCAGAATTAATTGCGATATTGTTAATAAGGTGCTGATCATTCGTAAGCACTAAGTATAATATGTTTTCACCCTTGTGGGCTCCTTGACAAACTGTGAGAAACCGTGATATGCAAAAGTTTCCGTGAGAGGGTGAGAATTTTCACTATTGGGATTCCATTGTGCCCAATCAATTTCTGGCATGTTGAAATCACCAGTTACAATAACAGGGCATGAAGCAACGGATAGATCACTGATTGCTTTAGCTAATTGTTCTGTAATGTGCAATGGTGTCGATGGTGGCCTGTATACTAAAACGACTCTGACACGAATGTTCAGGGGGCAGCAAAATCCAATGCGCTAGTATTTCATACCCCTTTGGGAACGGACTCGGTTAAGGATAGCGGTATAGACCTACACCGTTTTCTTCTAGATCATCCAATACGGCAATCCCCCTCCACAGTTTTGCGTCCCCTATCAAAACAAACCCGTACAATAGAGTAATCACTAACCCAATCGCTAAGCATCGACGGGACAAAATGGGCTTTCTTTAACCAAGTCTCAGTGAATAGATAAAGGATCGAACCTATCACGGATGGCAAGCGTCAGAAATGGATCTCGGAAATGATCTAATGTTCGAATAGAATACTGAAAAGTTCAACGAATATGCACAACCATTATCATGATGAACATCAACAACATGCCGAGGAAAGGAATCAGTTTCCCTGTGAAGCGAGAATGGAATGTGAAAAAGCATCTGAAGTGGGAACACCAGGTGCTTGATGATTTTACTTTTGATATTGAAGACGTTCTTCTCGACGTCTTTTTCTCTCGGCCTCGTTGAGGGACTCCCTAAGGAATACCCCTTTTTCCGAGAAAAAACGAAGTCGAGGAGCACGCGCACGGGCTAGTACGTTGGGTAATATGAAGACGCAATTGATGACGTTTCAAGCAGTCTATTTCCCTATGGGATTCCTAATCTATACCCAGCTAGTGGAAAAGAACCTACATCAACGTGACATAACACATTGAGAACACTGTGATAATCATAGTTCAAGTTCATGGAAACCGCCTGTTTTTGAGCCTCAGTGGGCTCTGACAACTTTTACCAGTTGCTGAGTGGACGGTCCTTATAAAGGTGCTATAGGAATTGAGGAGGTAAATAGTCGCCAACATAGGCCTATGTTTGAGGACGTGATTCACAGGAGTGAGCCCTGACGGCTCGTCGGAATAGTTTCTTCAATGATCTGAGCGGTATTCATCTACAACGATCGGATGGCCTATTGGATAGCGATTCTCAAGCGGACAGTGAGGCTGGGGGTTCATGGTTCGACTCCCCTTGACTTGCGAGTTTTTTTATTTTTTATGTTCCGCTGTCTCAGCGTCCCGCACATGTCTGGTTTGTGAATTTTTACTAGTATAGTCTACCATTTATGGCAGCCTTTTACTCAATAGTTATACCCCATTAGTCGGTGCTATATAACAAATTCGATTTCCACATACCATTAGACAAAAACTTTTCTGAAAGTTGGTCTTTATATATTATCAGTGTCGCTGAATCCGACTATAGCATTTACTTTCAGCTGTAGTGCCACATCGCCATTTTGGATCCACTTCCTCCCACTGGAGTCGCTATGACACACAGTTGAGGAACTTTTAGAGCCATTCTGACGCCAGATTGCTGAGAGTGTAGTCAGGAAGGTTTCAGATCGTGATCAGGACCATCGATTACCCCTATGGGCAAACTTTCGACAAAAAAATTTTGACTTCATCGAGTTGTTATAGACCATTTGGTCGACAGTGATGACCGGAGTCCCACAACTTTGGAGCTGTGATGACGTAGCGATGACGTGGTGGGCTGCCGGGCAGCTGTATCGCGGATTTGGTGCTCATAAGGTCCATTCATACTTGGCATAGGCATGGGTGGCCGCAGAACAAGTGAAAAACCATCCTGGACATTTGTCGACCCCCGCGACGGCTCGCTCAACGAAGATGTCGTCCTCCCTACCAAGAGGAGAGACTCATCCGATTTCTTCACTTTTTCAAATGCACCTGGAGGAATGATGACTATTTTGTTCTTTTTTCGATGGACGTTTATGGTTGTTGCTAGTTTTTTGTCTCCGTACTGAATGAGGAACCAGCAAAAGTACGACTTCAACAAAGTGACTCTTGAGCATAACCCAATGCACAGACTCAAAAAAGTCAAAATTTTTTTGGCCGAAAGTTTGCCTATAGGGGTAATCGATGGTCCTGATCACGATTCTGACACTTATTCTTGACGTCGACGCAATCTGGCGTCAGAAAGGCCCTGAAAGTCCCTCAAACGAGTGTACATAGCGACTCCAGTGGAGAGAGAAATGGATCCAAAATGGCGATGTGGCACTATAGCTGAAAGTAAATGCCATAGTCTTTCCTAATGGTATGTGAAAATCGAAATTGTTGTATAGCACCGACTAATGAGGTATAACTATTGAGAAGGTGCCTATAAATGGTAGATATACTAATAAAATTCATAACACAGACATTATGGACGCGAGAACAGCGGAACATAGAAAATGCAAAAACTCGCAGGCCGAGGGGAGTCGAACCATCAACCCCCACCCAACTGTCCGCTTGAGAATCCTTCACGCTATCCACTAGGCCATCCGATCGTTGTAGCTGAACACCGCTCCGCTCATGAAGAAACTATTCCGACGAGCCGCTCACTCTTAATCACGTGCCTCAAATAAGACCCCATTTGCGACTGTTTTCCTCCTCGATTCCTATAGTACCTTTATAAGGACCCTCCACTCAGCAACTGGTCAAAGTTGCAAGTGATTTAGAGCCCACTGAGGCTCAAAAAAGTGGTTTTCATGGACTATTTTTCACACTCTTTCTGGTATACCCAGAAGGCGTTCAGAAAAATGAAATCCAGTCTGATAACTCCATGCACGTGACGCGCTTAACATCATGCAAAAAACCGTTTCGAAAAGCGCTCCACGTACTGAACGACCTCTCAGGTAAGCGTGCTTACGGCTGTTCATGCTGTCACCTTTTTCGTTCCATAGTGCTGCTGGTGTTTGTTTTCACCAACTTACTGTTGAAGGAGACTGCGTGCGGTGCCAGATAAACCCTGACGTGAGCTGGGTGTGATCCCTCCCTTCAAGAATGCCCGTCTTTTTTCCAATATTTCTGCTTATTGCTGGTTGCGACGAAGATTTTATTAACGTTCTCAGAGGAAAATGGGTCGATGAGCAAATTCACAACTTTCGTTTCCAACGTCTTCTTTTCAGTTCCCACATTCCTGGTTCCGATGTTCGGTGTGTCTAGAGAGCAAGTCACCCTCGGCGACAACATGTGGCATCTTTTCTGTTGGAACTGTATACAGGTATGATGCAGTAAGCGGAAAATTACCTGTGAACGTACGCGTGTTGCTAGTGTACATCTGTTCAGGAGCACGCCCTGTCCAGTGATGATGAAGCGCACTGTCCCCATTGTAGGGCTGTGTTCGAGCCATCACAAGTCGTACCCCTTCTGAATTTGTGATATTTGGCTATTTAATATTATGAGGCCAGATATCATTTGAAGAAGTTCGATGCTCATGTTGCTTTCACTTCAGCACACTCCACTAGGCCTTAGAAGCCATTGATTTCATGTGATCTTTGTGATATGCAGTCCCGATAGATGTCCTAGCAAAGTATATGCTATTTGTCTTGTTGCCTAGTCTCTAAAAGTGAAAATGAATTCGATTGTATATCAAGATTGCGCCAAGAGAGAACTCTGAAAGTCTGCTGTATAGTTCTTCATTGGAAAGCATTTTCCGACATTGCCAAGTATAAGAAGTAATAAATTATTGTTCTTTTGTTCACCTTGTCTGCCAAAATTGTGTTACTGCTAACATATTGGAACTTGTGGTGTATGTAAGTTATTCTCTAATCCTTAGAGATCTGAGGCAAACTCTACGTTCACCTGCGGGGACGGTCCTTTCTTTATGCCAGGTGAATGGTTTGCAGCTGCAGTAGTTTCCAACATTCCTCAGGAGTGCAGGGAAACGGGGCTAGGGGGTAGTGGTACTTGGGTGCCGTTCAAAGCTCGCAGCGAGTACGCTGTTCACGGATAGAGAGCAACCAGTGAGACGGGGGGCGCAGACCATAGCGCGTTGGCTATAGATAGGCGTGTAACTGGTACTGGCAGTGCGAAAAAACGGGCGAAATTCCAAACGGCGCCCGGATAACACTACCTCTAGCTCCGTTCCCGTGAACGAATGCGCAGGGAAGGTAAAATGTTGCTACAGATTGTAGACTGACAAATTCCCTCCCACATGACGAAGAGCGTCCCTGGGGGTGAGCGTATAGTTTGTATTCAGGTTGAATATGTGAGACTCTTATTTTCCATTTTTCCCGGAACTTCTCGAGAAAACTCGCTTTTCCGGTAAATTTCGCTGTCGAGCAGTGCGGAGAGGGTGCCACCAGGGCATCGTGATGTGTGAAATGGTGGCGTCAGTACGACCTCCCCCCTTCACTCTCCGACACCTACCCACCAATTTCCCACATTCTCCAGTTCTTCACCCAGAAAATTTGCCGTCGAGCGGGGAGGGGGATATAGCCAATGTGAAACAGGAAAACACGAAAAGAACAACTGGGACAAATTTTTTTTCCAAACGCAGCAAATTCCTCTCAAAGCCACAAACGACCTCCTTTCTCCCAACAACGACCACGTACGACCCCTCCCCGATGTGTTCCACACAACGTTGCTGTGCCACTTACTAGAGGGGGGGGACGGATAGAGATCGGAGCTCCCGCCCTTAACATTGTCTGAAACAAGAAAAATCAAAAATCAACTATCAAAAAAATTCTTACCAACGATTAGACCCCCCCGCCCCCATTCGCATGAGTTCCCTAACGTAGGACGTGTTTCTTCGTCGTAGTATCAGTCGATACAGATGGCAACAGCACCTGAGTGGAGCTTTTGGCAGGATGTTATATTTTCTCATAGGTTCGGTATCCATTATTCTGTGAAAGAAGGCGAGACCTGGTTAGTTCGTGTCTAATTTGGCCTGGGGGCAATGTAAAACGCCAAATCCGTGAGGACACAAGAGCGTGTCGTGTACTTGGAAGACGGCAACAGGGCTATTCCGTCGGGATATTTCAGTTTTGCACAACTGCATCTAAAGTCTTGAATCGAAACAAAAGACATGATTGGCGCTTTTCTTAACCGGAAACTTCCCACGAAAGAGTCACCGCCACGTTCAAATGAAGTCTGTAGCCGCTAAGTGCGGCTCTCGATAAACCTCGGTATAGCGGTAATAGTGTGTCTTACTTTTGTAGAACTCTCGCAAGGTTAGAACACTACCTTCCCCTCGTTCGACGGAACACCCTTCAGGAGCCTGTAAGGTCTAAGCGATGTCTAAGCGCTTGCGATCTTATCAGGCCATGTAGGGTATCCTGGCAGTTTTAATGGAAGTCGACCTTAGTATCGGCTCATCACAATTAGAGAAGAGCATTTACCGAAACGGAGTCCGATCTTATAGACCAGTAAGAAGCTGGCTGTTAAACAAATCGGGCTATTGTTCATTCAGCATTCCTCGTGATAGGCCAACCTCATATAGGGTCTGTCGTGCCGGGGGCGGCTTCCTGTTCCCCTCATGCCTGGCGTCTTACCAGGTCGTGAGGCCCCTCTGACCTAGCATCGGTGTCTCGAGGGGAAAGGATCCGTCCTCGGCGCGAGGTTTGCAGAGGACTTACGAAGCGTTGCCGTATGCTCGTCACGGGTGCTGCCACCGGTGCTAATGAGCTAAGCGTGCTAGCCGGTAGCCGGCTTACTGCCCCTGCGCTAAATGGACCCTACGGTCACATACCTACTACCCTTCCACCTACGCCCTGTCCTCACTCCTACCTAAGGATAACTGCTCCTGCGGGATCCCTTATATCCGCCATTAACATCCTACAGGGACCAACGACCAACGCATTATGAATTGTACTATGAACTATGATAAAAACTATGATGAATAAATATGTGAGAAATGATGTGGATCAACCACTCTTGCTACACAACAAACACAATAATTATTACGTTTACCACTCTACAAATAACTGTGAGCAATAATAATAAAAAGGAAGACTACTAAGAAGTGAAACTACTAAGTGAGGTACGGCCCCTAACCTACTGACGAACCCTGCCACAGAACTGCCTACGGGCCACGAGGGTACAGCCCACTGGGGGCCTTGGACACACCCTCACCCTTGGCTGCCCAAGGGGTTCGGGTGCTCCTCCTCCTCCAGTGGTACCTGGATGTTCCTTGTCGGAGCAGTAGTGCTTGCTGTCGAGTACGGCTCCTTGATGTTGAAGTGTTGCCATTGTAGTCGGATAGTGAAGTTGGCACAAGGCGACGAGCGAAGGAGCGACCAGTCGATACGGCGGCAGACGTCGAAGTGAGAGAGAAGCCAGAGTCGGCGGCGACTCTGCATCCCTAGCGGCTTCCAGAGTGTTCGACCGTAGCCGCTAAGCGCGCCAGGACCGCCGCGCGCCCCATAACGCGACCCTTTAAAAAGAGTCGTACGAAAGTCACGACAGGGTCTATATCCCCGCCTACTGCTCGTCAACAGTCAACAGGAGTAGAAATGAAGTGTAGTCCACCACTTGTTAAAGCTTTCAAGCTTCGCGCAAACTTCGCGCAAACTTCAAATATTCTGTCCTTTCAAGTTGAAGCGTTGTGTTGGTTGCCTAACTACTTCAGCAATTTTTTACAGCCGTCTACAAAGATTCCGTCCAGTGGTCTGGTCCGCAGATGTGGCGACAGCCGGCCCGCTATCTATGCACTGAAGTCCGCCAGCATCCTGAACTTTACTTCTCTGGCATCCAACCTACTGGCGTACCACATCTTGGAAACTATTTTGGCTTCATAGAACCATGGACGAAGCTGCAGAAAGTATGTTGGTAGCTAAACGCATAAGCATTAACGAAATAAAGGCATTCAATCCACCCGTCCGTGTGTTAATAGGTTTGTCACCAGAAATCCAGTGGTGGCGGTTGTTCAGCATCTATGTCGTTTTAGGATCTTCCTCCCTCGACGAAGATGGTTCTGGCTATAGCTGACCAACACGCGATTTCTCTTGGCCCAAAGTCTTCGAAAGAGGTTTGGGATGTTTCTCCTTACTTCTCCGTTACAAAAAAGTGATAGTCTTTCCTTATCTATGCCACATTCTATGTCAGCTAAAAGCAGCATTTGCTGAGTTTTTTCAACTAGGAAAGCCTCAAGAGCGAGGGGGACCAAGTGATATCAGAGGAAGCTTAGGTAAAAGGGAAAAATAAGCAAAGGGGGGGGGAGTACTCTTTGTGTTCATACGCCTCCTCAGCGATACGGAGGGATTTACTTTAGACTTTAGGGAAGGGATTTGCTGACTTGCTCATCACTAACGGTCTCCTCCCAAGGTAATGCAAGGCTTACTCGATTCGGACGTTAGTATAAAGCAACGTGACATCTAGCGACCCATTGTTCTAGATGTCGCACTGCTGTGCCAGTCAGAAAAATGGTTGTTGTTTGGCAGGTGAGAGGGAATGGGTACCAATGACTGGCGATAGTTAATCGCGTTCACATGTTGTGGCTTTTAGATTAATAGATGGAATATTTCCCTGGTGGCCTAATGTTTCAAAGTTTTTAAAGGCCGATGCTTACAAGAAGAGAGAAGCACCGTTTAACACGTTGACGACAATCGCGTTTTGCGGGTTTTGCGGGAAAGCGCTGCTTGGGACAGTGGCGTTTCGCATGCGTCCGGTCACCGGTGGCTTACATTGTCCTCGCGGACCACTTTTTTTGCCGCTATGTCAAATTTTCGCAAAATGATTAGTCAGTCGTGCAGGGACTGCTATTTCAACCATCCTTGACCCTATTGGATGCCATCTCATGCCCCGCCCTCTGCGATAATGCCCGCTTTTTTAAGAGGCGATCGGTGATTTCGAAATTTTGTGCAGTATAGTGTAGTTCATTGCGGACGGTTGGGCGTGTTCGTGCGGCTGCGTTTGGCGCGGTGCCAAACTCGTTCTCCACGAGTTGTTCAAGCGAGCAAATGACAATACTGTATTATACCTTTCGTATTACTTGTTTTCTTTTTCTACTGCTTTTTGTCGCATGCCCGTTTCAACAAGAAGGCAGAGAACAGCTCAAAGAGGGTGACACACTCATACTGGCTGACACGCCCAACCGTCCGCAGCGAAGTAGAGGTTACTTCTGTTTCTAAAAGTTTTTTTCGCGGAATTCTGCTTTTCACACATTACAGTGACTCATAGTCGAATAACCAAGGCGTTCAAGCTTGTACCCAACTCGGTGCCAAAAGATTGCTGGCGCCAAAGTGGCGCCCCCTGGCGCCAGGTGGCCCCAACACTGCAAGGCGACGATATATTCGTGACAAGGATATCAAATAACCTAGGTATAGGAGTTTCTATCGAATTCGGTGCCAAAGAGATTGTAAACGATTAAGGATGAAGACAATCAGTGTTGAGAAACGCCGCGGCTGGGCTCAGTTCATGCCTCCTCACTTTGCGGCGATGTGGACTGGATTACTAAAATGTTCCGAGAATTCGAGATTCATTTTGTGAAGATTTCTTTGAAGAATCAACCCAATAGGACTCGTCGCGCTGCATCACGACACACAGTATCAGATGTCGATCTAGACTTCGAGGGCTGGGAAGTACATATAGTATCAACTAGCGTCTGCCAGCGTCTGCCAGCGTCTACCGTCAATTTCAGCGACCAGTAGAGTATATGGGGAAGTAGGAGGGTAGCGAACAAATTGTTGCGTGTGTAGCCGCACTTAACCACTGGTAAAGCAGAGAATTATGCAATTCAATGTATGGTGTAGTGTACTTGTGCGGTGCGGTTGCACACGCCGCAGTTTCACGACACCTGATACAGCTGTTTGCTGCCCCCTACTTCTCCAGGCTCTCTGCTCCCGATCGCTGGGGAGCGCTGGTGGACGATGGTAGATGCTGGCAGACGTTAATCGATACCTGTAACTTTCCTAGCCCTCTAGACGATGGTAGACGCTGGCAGACGCTAATCGATACCTATTCGTCCCTAGCCCTGTAGACGCTGGCAGACACTGGATCAATATCTAAACTTTCCTAGTCGTTGACTCTGCCGGACGTTCGCCTCGCTGCTACGATGTGGATCGCGTCGCAAAAGTAAAGAACCAGCATAATAGGCCTATTGAGAGGAAGGCCGCTCAAATTTTGCGCATGCTTGGAAAAAAATGAACAACATACCACAACATCCAGTTCTTCCAAAATCTGAGAAAAATCGATCTTATTTTGAGCGTGCCTTTTTCCTTCTTGAAATGGAGCTGTGAGATCGTTTCAACCTCATTTTCTCGGTGAATGTGGTCACCATCTTCTGCTGTACTGACTTGGAGTAAGAGGGTGATCGTTCATTATTTAGTTGCACAACAACATTCGGCGGATGGCATGCAGTCTATTGGCTTGTGGTGTCGACCCGTCTAGGACGTTATTGTTTCGTCAGAGCGACGTCCCTGAGATCTCGCAACTTTGCTGGATACTTGGTTCCTTGCAAACAGTTGCCCAACTCCAGCGGTTGCCTCAGTATAAGGAGAAAGCCAGCAAGTACGTTTCTATCTTTAAACTCTTGAAAAGGGGAACACAGTGGTCAACCATATGAGGATAATTGAGGGACTGTAGAGTAGCCTTGGAAAGCCCAGAACAGGAAACTTGGGTTTGCTTCTCGCTCAAAACTTCGGGCAGACTACGCTCAGCTGTCACCATATGATGCTCCGCCTATGAATACACAAGCTCGCATTTGTTCTTCTTTACTATGAAGAAGAAATTGGAGAACGGAGAAAAGGGAGATCTTTGTCCCGCGTTTCTCTTCAATGATCCCCTCAAAGACACGCTCCGCGATTAGCAAAGAGTCCTGTCATCTACTCAAGAGGTTATCCTGGGTCAGTGAAGAAGTACCGTTTTCGCGGCTCTGCAGTGCGCAAGAAACGGGTTGCGCGCTCATCGCCCCTTGATGTATCAGGATGTATCTTGATGTCGCAAGAGATGTTTTTGTCAAATGCGATCCCTTTTAGTAACCTACCTACCATATTGACAAATCTTACTAAAATTTTGCCGTGAACTGGGAGGATAGGGGGTAAGACGGAAAAAATTCTCTCGAGGCAATATACGACGCTCCCTACCCAGCAACTATTTACGCCTCCTCCTCCCCCCCCCCCCTCGCTGTGGCTTCCATAACGGTGCTCTGTGTCGCCTGGGCCCATGAAGAGTACATGCCAGTTCAAGTTGGGCGTGTCCCTATAAGGCTGTCGTGTTCTCCCATAATCTGGTCTCCTCCCAGGCTCATCAGTTTACTATCGCCTCTCCCGTCTTGCAGCTTACATTCACCATCTCATTCTGTCTCATTGGTCATATAACTGCGAAGAGGGCCTTATTCACGAAAAGATTTTTCTGCTCTTCCCCGCGACTGTGTCAGCTAGCACCGACACTTTTTTGAGCCCCACCGCCTACGAAATGCAATCGCGGAACGTGCTTGTAAGCCCGTTGGTCTGCTTTCGTCATCAACGCCAGGCACCAGTGCGAACCCTGGGGGCTGGTTCATGGGGGCAGTGAGAAGACGCTTGTCGCTCATAGACTTAGGCTTGGGGTTAAGTTACGAGGAGGCACGCCGCATGCAACCGTTTAAAAGCAGTTGGCACTGAATAAAATCGTCTACAGGTGAGATTTTGTACAACTGGCTTAACAGAATTCCGTGACCTCGGACAGGCGCTGCGTGAAGCTTTTTTCAAGGAGGGTCCCTCTATAACGCCCTATTGAGCAACAACTTTACTTTACATTGGCAGGAATGCGTATGGGAAACTCGTCCGAAATCGATTTACAAGTCACTGAAACGGAGGCTTTTTCTTCGCCGGATTTTGACCGTTTCACTCCGTTCTTCGCCATTTCCCCACTAATACACGCGCCCTACCTAGCATTTTGGGCTAAGTAGAAAACTATCGTGCCAACTGCCTTTATGGGAGTACAGTGAAGCAGAGTTCGTTGCCCTCTGCACATCCCCTATCAACTTCAGTGCCACCTCACTGCGGTCCATGAACGCTCTCACAGTTCGACGTCCATCCATTCAAGTTTAGTATAGCAAGGGGGGGGCCAAAAAAAAGTCACTTTTCTCATTGACTTTCGAGGCGCTATAAGTTACACTTTATTAAATTCTGATCGGACATTTTTACTACCATATTGAAGAGCACATTAAATACTATCACGACACTCCGCCACAGCCTGTCATGGAGGACGCCATTCGAGAGATTCGGCACGCGCGCGAAGGGTGGGTACCTGAGTTGACGAAGTAAGTACGATTTCTCCGCCACCCGTTAGAACCACCCTCTGACTGCTGAAGTCCCGACTAGGTAACTGAGTGGATTCAGGTCAGGGGACATACTTCAATATTACATCTTCTTCAGGTACGAAACGCCCTTCCATTCGAAGTAGGCGGGAGTTTTTCCAAAACCCTTTGATTCCATGTGGTGGCACCCAAACCTGTAGCAGCACAAGGTCTCCAAGAAGGTACGGGCGACCACATGTAGGGAGGATATTCTTCTCGAGTTACTTGATGTAACCGCCAGCGCTCACCTTCAGTCGGGGTCTACAAAGAAAATATCGGTCTTCCCTTCCAGGTACCCCGGTCCATACCATCAACTCGCGCCTCGGCGAATACGGTGAAGATGATGTCCTAGACCGTAGCGACGTTGCCGTAGCTGGCTCGATGTGGGAGGTCTTGCAGGTCAAGAGTACTGACCTCCAGGTAGCTATCTGTGGATGACTTCATTCAAGAAGTTTCGCAGCTGTTTGGAGGCGACGTGAATTCCAAAGGTGTTCTCCAGTCAGGCCGCGACTGGAGATGACTTCATATTTTGGCGTACATGAAGGCGATTGGCGGCAGCCTGCTCCAGCTTATAGAGGAAGATCTTGGGTATCTTCCACCTGGTACTCATATCCACTTCCCCTGTCTGGGCTGCGAAAACTTCGTTGATATGTGGCTCGGCCGAAATGACTTTTTTTTTTGGCCACCCCTGATACATCAGCTTGTACACTATGAAGTACTACGAGGTGGGAGTAGCAAAAAAAAGTTGTATACGTCCGGCGCGGCAAACGAACAGTACAGCTGGCGACAAC